TGGTTTCCTCTGGCGTAGCCGATGCCGTCGTTGGTGGGGAACTTCAGGCACAAGTGTTTCATGGAGATGATGGCCTCCAAGTCTTCCAGTGCTGGCCGTCCCAAGATCAGGTTATGGGCGCACTGAAGGTTGACCACCATGAAATTCATATCAATTTTGGAACGGTGGGAGCCATCGCCGACCTCCACGGGGAGGACTATCGTGCCCTCGGCGTCGATAGAGTCCCCGGTGAAGCCGGACAACGGTGTCTTGATAGGCTTCAGCAGAGCTTTATCCAGCTTCAGCTGCTTGAAGGTGTCCAGGTACATCTATGGATGGACTCGGGTCCGGGGCGGGTCCGTGTCGGGCCTAGGCCCGGGCGGGCCGGCGGGTCAGAAATGGTGGACCCGGGACCGGCCCGGGTAACCACCGGGTCCGGTCCGGGCCGGGCCCATTATATTTTTTTTGTTTTCCTCTTCCTAATTAACCCCCCTCCCACCCCCAACCCCCAAACCACCCCAAATGGCCCAAAATACCCAGCCCAACCCGAAAAGTTAAAAAAAATTGAAAAAAAATAGTTTTTGGCCCGAACCAGGCCCAGGCCCCGCCGGGTCGGGCCTTGTATTGGGTGACCCGAGCCCGGACCGGAAAACCCACCGGGTCGGGCCGGGCCGGAACAGTACCGGTCCCGGGCCGGTTCTGGGTCGGGCCACCCGGCCCGAGTCCATCCCTAGGTACATCACGTTGACGGAGCTCCCCGTATCGATGTAAGTGCGGTGGATGATGGAGTCACCGATCTCACACCGGATGACGAGGGCATCCCTCTGTGATTCCGTACCCGGAGGCAGATCCTTGTCGGTGAAGGTGATCGCCTCCGTTCGCTGCTTCTTCAGCTGGGGGGGGGGGAACGTGGGACACCTCCCCAATGTAAAGGGAGTGGGCCCATTTCTTCCTATGGGTGATGGAGTCCCCCCGGTATTCCCACCTACGATGAGGTGAATATGGTTCTTCTTTGGCGGAGGCTCTTCAAAGTCCTCGTCGTCGCTGAGTCTACCGATCTCCCGCTTCTTCGTAGAGGGTTCGCCCCAAGGTTTGCCGGTGTTTACCCACGTATTTTTGGGAGAGTCCCCCCTAACAAATAAGGCACTCGATGGCTTTCTTCAGCGTGATGCAGTCGTCGGTGTTGTATGAGGAGTTCTTGTGAAACCGGCAGTATGTGCCGCCTTGCTGGATGGCAAGGACCTCCTTGGCCGGCCGAGGAGCTTGTTCAATGAAGCCATGCTTCTCGGCATAGTCGAGGATGGTGCTGACCGGGTGGGTGAGTGGGACCCCGGCCGTTCCAACCTCGGCCGCCAGTGGCGGTCTTTCTTGCTTTGTCCACCAGAGTCGTGATGGCCCTGGGCACCCGGCCGACCGGGGATGCTCCCGGGGCCGGCGAAGGATTTGTCTTCTTGGAGGGATGGCCTCTGTCTTATTTGTGGTTGTGGAGCTCGTCGGCGTAGGCGTACAAGCTCCCACGCTGAAGCGCCTTTGCATACGACCTCGGGGGGTCGGTGATGAGGCTCCTGGCATACGGGGAGCTGCGGAGGGCTCCCTGGTAAAGAACGAGGAGGGTGCACTCATCGGCCCCCTCGACCTCTTCGGTCTCTCTCGCCCACTGATCAATGAATGACCGGAGGGGTTCGTCATGTTGCTGCTTGACGGAGAGGAGATGGGTGAAATACTTCTTCGCACGCTTCCTCCCGGCAAAGTGAGTGAGGAAGCGCTGGGCAAGGTCCTGCCATGAGTCAATACTTCCTTCGGGAAGCGCGTTGAACCACTCGTACGCCGGCCCCTCAAGAGTGGAGAGGAACCAACGGCAGAGATATTCATCCGACGCGTTCACCATCATCATGTTATTCTGATAGCGGCTGAAATGCTCCTGAGGGTCTGATCGGCCATCGTAGGACTTGATGGCGTTTCCCCTGTACTTCTCCGGGATGGGGGCCGAGAGCACCCTGTTAGTGAAAGGGGTCCTGGTCCTGACCTGGATGACGGGGTCACCTCGCCCTTCAGCCAACTCCCTCTCAAGGGCGCTGACCTTGTTCATGAGAGCGTTGAGGCCAAGATCGTTGGAGGCGCCGGTCGTGGGGATGTTTGCCGATTGCCTGGCCTCCATCTGGGCCAGCCTCCTTTCCAGCTGGGCGATGACCTCGTCTCGGGGATCCCTGGCGGCTGTAGCGGCGCCCTGCTGGTTCTTCATGCGCTCGTCGTGGGCCGCATTGATCCGGTGGCGCATGTCGTCCTCGTGCAACTTTCCCTTGCCCTTGTCCAGGCGGGGCTGGTCCGCTGTCCGGGACACAGACCCCAATCTTTCTCTTGGCGAGCCAGGTTGAAGGCAGAGGCTTTTCCACGCGCTGGGGTCTGCCCAGGTCGAAGAGGGGAAGCGGGGTGGGAGTGGGACGACGCTGTGTCCTGGGCTATCACCCCCTCATCGTTGCCTAACCTGACGGCCAACGGTTGGGGCTGAGGAGGTGGAGTGACGTTCCCCCCAGTCCTTGGCAAGAGTGCGCTGAGGACGGTGGGGTTCTGAGCCAAGCTGGCGATGATGACCGACAACGCGGCCTGGACCTGTGGATCCACAGACGGAGAAGCCGCGGCCATAGGCTGGGCCGGGGCGTGGTCTGTCTTCTCTGCGCGCTTCTTGTCCAGGCCGATGCGAGCATCAGGGCCGCTGCCGTTGAGCTGGTTGTGTAGGTCCATCGTGAGGTTGATGGCCTCCTGGAAGACGTCCCCTCCGCCGACCTGGTCGGCCGTGGCGTCCTCCTCATGCTCCCTGGTCTCCTGATCCTCAGGGATGGCCTTGCTGACGAGGTTGCGGTTTGACTTAGTTCTTCCCATGATCAGTGGTTAGCTGTGCTTGGTAGCGACGAAGGGTGCTAACTTGATTGTTCTAGCTCTCAACGAGAGCACCAAATGATAGAGTATATATCTAGAGAGAAGTGAGAGCTAGAGAGAGAAGTGCAAATAAATGCTTCAATAGAATGATTTTGCAACTACCTCCAGAGGAAGTATTTATAGGAAAAATACGGGCTGGGCTCCCAAGCCTTGGGCTTGGGAGGCCCATTTACAACTGGACCGCTATTGGGCCGAATACAAAGTAAATGATGGGATATATAAATGAATAAGTGTAAAATCTAGTTCTGTGAGACTTTCGCGGCCGACGAGGGTCTGGCCGACGAGGGCACGGCCGATGAGGGCACGACCGACGAGGACACCCTGGTTCCTTGGCTTCGGGATCATATTCTGAGTTGGCCCCTCTTCGGCCGACGAGGGTCCTTTGGCCGACGAGGGCACTGTGCAGTGGCTTGTACTTTATGTTCTTCTGAGTATGTGGGTCCTGGGGCCTAGACCCATATACTCCATCATATGATTTAGTTTTTTCTCTAATTGTGCATCATTACAAAGAAATGGTTTGAGGATGAGCAATGCTCAAGTGTGAGGGATTTACTAGTTGTTATAGTTACTTATATTTCACATAAGTATTTATAAGTATTTGAAGAAAATATCATTTGAATGAGATCTAGAGCATAAACTATTGCGATGAACGCTTTTTGTGTTAGCAAAAATGTGTTAAAATTGCATTAAATGGTCAATTTGGGGTAGAATTTGGGGCTGAATCATTTCCAAAGTACAATTATACTTATTTTACTTCCTACAACTGGCCATGAGATGCTCAATGACTACACTTTTTGAGCAAAGTAAAATTTTACTTATTTTACTTCTCAAAATTTAAAAAAAAAGTATATGAACATTGTAATATTGTAATGTTGTTTTCCATAAGGAGATTTCTCACGCTTCGTACAATCATAGATTGGTGAATCTCTTTTGGTGGCAACTTCATTTACTAGATTCATTTTGTTATATTATACGAAGTAATAATAATAATAATAATAATAATAATAATAATAATAATAATAATAAATAAATAAATAAATAAATAACATATTTCATCACCAAACAGTAAACATTGATATAATTAGCCTTTTGTATTGTGATTTTATTATAATAGTCAAAGTATCAAATAAACACTTTGTACTGATTAATCCAGTCGTTTCTCGAAGCAGTCAAAGAAAAGATAATCTAGTCTCTCTTCTTATCTTTCTTCCAGTTTTTGCTTTGATTTTATGGGTCGATTCATATTAGTCACCCCCAAAATATTTTTAGAATAAGGCTGAGATATCGTTGTTGTTGTATCAATAACAACATATACCAGTATCACAAAGGCCTACCAACGGTGGGGTAGGAGGGTCAGATGTACTCGTTTCGTCCCAATTTGTTTAGAAAAATGGTTTGCGAGGTTGATTGAACATAAAATCAATACTGCTCAATTTATTTTGCAAATATATATATATCTTCTAACTATATTAAAAGTTCTATTGAAACACAAATGATCACGTATCTACAATGAATACAAAGCAAAAATAGAATAAGAGAATAGAATGATCACAAATCAATACGTACAATTAAAGAATAAAATGATACTCCGTAGTCTCTACTGTATTAACAAAAAAGTAAATTGAAAATAAATTTGAGACAGTAACAAATGGGAAAATATATTGTTTTGATCTTGTAACTTTTGAATGCATTTGTTATTAATCATGTACTTTTACTCACTTTGCAGATGTGGACATATATTTAATAAATTTGTCCGCACTAAGAACTTTTCGACTGAAAAATAGATTTTCTGGGGAAAACATGAAAAAATAGCCATCAACGTTAACTTTCAGAACCACATTCTATATCTTCTCAATAAAAAGGTCAAAACTCCATAATGAAAATTCGCGTTAAAAATTGTGTGGACTAACTGCTGCTTCATATCAAAGAAGCAAAAACATTATATTTAATCAACGCCAAAAATCAGCCCCACTTTCCATAACCTTAAGAGGTTAAACGTACAATTCACACGAAAATTACCCTTAGAGAATTGCAATAAAGCTTACCGGTTTGGTTTGTTATGTGTTATTTTATGTAACAATATCTATCATGACTCATATTCCATTTCAATAAGATCAAGTACATGTTTTTGCTACATCCAAAAGAAACACAAACTATATTGATCAATCATGTATAAATAAAACACGAGCAAATGTTACAATTGCCAACATATATAACTCTAAGATATTGTCACGTACAATCTTAGACTGGTGATTGGAGGGTGACGAGAAGTTTTCCACTTACAACACTGCATGACCAATATATTTATATTAAAAAAATTGAACAAGCAAAACACAAAGATAAATTATAATCTCAAATGGATAAAATGAGGGGAGGTGATTAGCTTACCTTTTGACATAATAATAGCAAAAATCTGCCAAAATAAACGTTTGAACCATTTCTGCTACATATATAGCGGGTACCCAAAGATATCCACTTCCAACTAAATACAAGTAACTTCCACCAGACTCGTATATCTGCATATAAGCATTGCAAATGTAAAATTAAAATATTAGATAGATATCGAACTAAAAGTATTTACATGTGGTGTTTGACATAGAACTCTTTAGCCGAAACTTGGAATGAGTGGTACAACATTTGAAACACTTAAATGTATTAATGATACTAATTTGTGTCATTATTTAATAGTTTAAATGTCAAAGTGCATCAATATCAATAGTTGGTACATTTTACCCTCCCACATAACCAATGGTGGAGCGACGAATATAATGTTAGGGGGGATTGGACTTAAAAATTTTATGCAGCCATAGCTTATGAGAATGTTTGGAGCAGTGGTAGTGCTCTATCACTGAAAATGCTCCTAAAAGCCAAGGGGCCCATGACCTCAGTGAAATGCTCCTAAAACCAAACAATGAGAACTTTAGATTCTATGAGTGAATATGTTGGTTTTTATAAAAATTATGACATTTATGTACATATACATGTCCAACTAAAATCTACTATGTATTATACTGCTCAAGACCTTGAAACAAACTAAGAGTTTGTTTGGTGACCATGTTTTTCACGCGCTGAATTGTGTAATAATAATAAAAAGTAAGGTTGAAGTTACTTTTCTGGCTGTATTGGTTGAAGTTACTGTAGAATATCATTTTAGTCACTTCAGTGAGAATTTTATAAATTTCAGCAGAATGAGCCGATTCAATCGATTTCAGGCTATGTTTGGCACAACGAGCTGGAATGGAGGTTGATGTCTGAATTAATGGCTATTGTTTGAATCAGTGGCTATTGTCTGCAGCGAACTTTGAAGTGTTGAATCTGAATTGTTTGCTGAATGAAATAGATCTGTTTGGCAAAAAGAACTGAAAGAGTGTCTAGAAATGTAAAATTACATTATAGTGCGTGTTTTAATCAAAAGATAACATATTTTGATGTTGATTTTGAAATATTATACGGAGTATCTAATAAAATAATACGACATAAATAAAATAACACTCCGTGAATAACATGATAGTGAAAATCAAGTGAAGAACATCAGGAATGAAAATATGAGAAATGGAAAACATAAAGAAATGATGAGTGTAAAGTTGTAAACCATATATCAAACAAAATTGAAAATAAAGAAAACATCAGACGAGAAAGAGCATCTCAATGATATGAATATTTGCCAAACCTCAAAAGAATTGAAAAGAACAAAGAATGGTGCAAGAAGAGATACATCATAATCTCCACTAATCGACTTTACTGTCGTCTGAGGACATTATGGGAACATTATTAACACTAACATACTTAACGTTTCACTTAAGTTCATTAATCTCCATTTCAGCCTCTTACAACCATTCATCCGAACAAGACTTGTTTTAAGTTAACTAGCCGAATCTAATAAATTTCAGCTCATTATGAGCTGAATTGTCATGCCAAACATAGCCTTAGTATTACCACACGGGCTCTAAATTCTCAAATTATGTTACATGCACAAACACACTTACAAAAACGCTACAATACATGAGTACATATTGTAACACATTAAATCACCTTTACAACATTAGCATTATTTTACATGAGTCTTACATACTCGTTATCATTTATTTGTAAGTTTGTTTGTAAGTTTAATTTGTCCGTAATGGTAGCATCTCCATAAGTTTTTTGTCCGTTTGGACTACACATAAATGCGTGTTGAAAAGTGATATAATACCAACCTGAATGATCCAATGAGCACATTCAAGAAATCTTGCCACGCCCAAAGCAAACACATAATGGGCCGTAAACGGTTCAATAAGCTGATAAACAACAACACCTTTAATTAGATAATATACACCTAAATTAAAAAGAATATACAATTCAGCAAGCTTAAATAATGGACCTTAGCTTTTTGCATCACGCGGAGCTGGGGGAGCACCGTGACAGATTCCAAGTACACACAAAATGCCCATGCCATTCTATGGATTTTTAAATTAATAACAGTGTACGGATGGACAAACACAGCTAAAATTGTTGCAGGCACAATCTGTGAAAATGAATACACACTTTATATATGAAACACATTATATAATGCTAATTAAATTAACATTTTAGATTTTGTGTCACACATGTGATCTAAATTGATGGTTATAGCACTAGATGGAACCATGATTTCAATGTATAAGCAAGGAAACTGCATACCCACCCTGTCAATTCGAATTTTCTCTGCAATCCAACACCGTTAATGTATTCACTCAACATAGATATATTTTATTAAATTGTTACTTATATTATTGTACATCGATTGTTTAGTCAATATTTTTTATAATTACTTACGATTTAATAGTCGTATTGCGTCTCATTTTGCTATGAAGGATTTGGGTGATCTCCATTATTTCTTGGGGGTCCAAGCCGTTACAACCTCTAAAGGTGTTTTTCTGTTCGTACACCACTTGTCACTCACACCACTCTCTCCCTCACTGATGATGAACTCCTAGCAGATGCTACTGAGTATCGTAGTATGGTAGGTGCATTACAGTATTTAACTTTGACAAGACCTGATATTATTTATGTAGTTCATTTAGTGTCTCAGTTCATGCATGCTCCCCACACTACTCACATGGTTGGTGTCAAGCGTATTTTCTAGGGGTGGGCGCGGTCCGGAACGGTCCGGTACATTGGTAAAACCCGTAATGTATCTGTGAGGTTTTTAGCGGTCCGGTACGGTCCGGTTCCAAGGATAGAACCGTTCGGTAGCATGTCGTTTCGGAACGGTACAAAACGGATTGGTACAATGCCAAACACATGCTAAATTTTTTGAACAAATCTTGCAATTAGTAGATATCATCACACCAACCAACTCACATGAAATGTTGAAATAAATACAAGAAATTGCATACGTAGTACTAAAATTCACAAATACACAAATAGTGCAACACAACTAAGAAAAAGTATAGCAAAACGATGACGCACGAGATAAATATCATTTTTAATTTACTAAGTTCAAAACTTTTTAAAATGGTTTGACGATGAGAAATCATGTACTCCTTCCGTCCCAAAAAAACTTCACAGTTTGACTAGCACATACATTTAGGTAGATTAAAATTTTGGTTTGTCTTTCCCAAAATTTTACTGTTTGGACATTGTTTGGCACTGTTTGGTACTGTTTGACACTGTTTTGATGTTGACAATTTGCCAAATAAGGAAGTGGGAAGAAGTGTGAAGTTAATTTTGGGACATCCATTTAAGGAAAGTGAGAAGTTGTTTTTGGAACGAAGAGAGTATATATATTAATATAAAAACGAATATCATTAAATTGTTGAATATAATAGAAATCTTCAACATTCTTCTTCTTCGTTCTAGGTTAAATTTTTTTCCGTAGTTCTAATTTAATTTATAGTTGAATCTTGAGAGCTAAGATTTAAACCATACTCCGTATTAATTAAATTGTAAAAAATGCACAAACATGATACAACAAAAAGTCATGTACACTACATTACTAGAAATAAATAATCATTAATGATTTCTAAAATTTTAATATTCTTTCAATACATACCAAATTATAACACATTTTAGAAATATATATATATATATATATATATATATATATATATATATATATATATATAACATTTTAGATATCTTAGGGACACATGAATACATACTTGGGGTATAAAATTGTTGGTCTAGATCTATTGATATAGAAAAAATATAAAAAAATTCAAATGCATTATTTACGAACGGTTCGGTCCGGTATTTTTCGGTTCTCAAAATCTAGGACCGGTCCCGTACCCGTTTCAAACGATACGGTTTCGGTACGGGATAAAAATCTATATAACCGTTAAGCCATAATTAAGAAGAGAGATTATTGCTTACGAATCAAATGTATTCTATTCTTTATATAATAGTACGTTCACCTAATTAATGCATCAAAAAGTACAGTTGCTCTTTTTTTTGTTAAATAAACCTCACTTTTATTTTCTAACACCAACCCTTATCATATACTCGTATCATTTTCTCTATAATCTGTAAAATAAAATAGTAATCCCAAGTAAACACAAATACTACCCGGCCTAAGTTGCAATGTAACTCTCATTATAACTTAGCTTACACAAACACAAATTAAAGATATATATTAAACTATAAAATAAAAACGTCACATAAACTACAAAAAAACTACGAGATTGACATGAATTTGACACAGATTTTTCGATAATTTTGCGCCAAATAGCTCGTGCCAAACAGTTTTTGACACGAATTTGACATATCTTTGTCGAAATTCCTGCCAAAATTCTCTGTCAATCCCTTATTTTTTTGGTAGTGATATATAATGCAAATATATGTGTGTTTAACGTAACTCTAGCAAGCTAAGCCTAGCCCAAATATTGAAGCATATATGGAATCAATCGAAATAATGAGAATATATATAGGGGAATGTTTTAATATTAAAAATAGAAATTCTTACGTACTATGTAGGATATGGGTGTTTTGTCTAGCTCCGCCATATACGTATACTTCAACTTAAATCTGATCATGTATATAACCCACAAAGTTGAGACAAGCGTGACGAAATCGAGCATGGTGTGTATGTCAGCTTCCATAATAAAGCTGAGGTACAATCTTATACCTAAAAATAGAGCTGTGAGCTCCTGAGACTTGAGTGACAACCCTAATAAACACAACGCCAAAAATTAGATCAACCAAGAAATTATTACAAAATTTTTAATCATGGGTACAAAAATTATTAGGTAAGGAGTTCAAATGTACACAAAAAAATGTATCAAAGAGTGCATTCAATTTGAGATTAAACAAGATTTGATATGAATAAAGTTCAACCTAGTGAGTAGTGATGCAACTCATGCAAAAGTAGCATGGTGAGCTACTAATATTCTTGAGTCAAGTTCAAGCAGTGACGGACCCAGAGATTTGTGAGAACAGAGGCACACTAGATACTAAATTTAGTTTATAATAAAAACTTCGGACCCGAACCGAGGACACTGGATTTTACCTTAAGTGATACACTGATACTAGCAAATTTCCGGGCCTGAAGTGGGGCTCGTGCCCCATCTAGCCCCCCTAGGTCCTCCGCTGAGTTCAAGTAACTATAGAAAAGCTTGAAGTGACATAAAAAGATTAATTAATTTTTTTTGCCATTCCACAAAATGTACAATTATCAAATCTAATGTATCAAATTCTTTATTTTTCTCGTTAGATCACATTAGCACACCTAATTAGTTTTTGTGTTCGACCACTTAATATCATTACTTGAGGTGAACCCGGACATATACTTGGTTCAAAAGGTGGAATCTCCCACCCCAGGAGCCCCCCACCCCGACCCGATAGGATGGTGGGGAAGTTAATCACGGTGACTGAATAAACAAAGCGGTGGTAGATCTTATACACGTGCGCACCAGAGGTCCAACCTTATTTCAGGTTCTGTAACCTCCACACGATCGCTGAGGATTTTGAACCTTGGTCACTTGTTCCAATTTTCCCACCACTCGACCAACTGAGCTACCCGTGCGGGTAACCCGGACATATACGTCCAAAAGGTTGAATCCCCAACCCCAAGGGCCCCCCCACCCCGACCCGACAGGATGCTGGGGGAGTAAATCACGGTGACTCAGTCGGTAAAGCGGCAGTAGGCCTTTACCCGTGCGCACCAGAGGGCCAGCCTTATTTCAGGTTCTGAAAACCCCTTTTGGCCGCTGCGGGATTCGAACCTTGGTCTACGTCCAATTTTCCCCACCACTTGACCAACTGAGCTACCCGTGTGGAACCCGGACATATACCTTATTACCTTATGTCGTCAATTTCTTCCCAGCGCATCAAAATTTGTGTTTAAAATGGATTGTACATTTAGACGGTTAAGTTTTTAGTTAATTCACTAAATAGGATTTAAACATACATAATTACATACGGGTACAATATAAAAATAAAAATATGACTACCATCACTTTCTTCCTAAAGTAAGATTTATTTACTACTAATTAGGGGAGTTTAATACTTTTAATATGATCAAATAAGTAATGTTTTGGAGATAAAATATAAATAGTCCGGTCCTATTTTAAACCTATTTGGAGCAAATTCTTGACCATTCTACTTGACTTTGATAGCCGGGAGAGACTCAAACCCTCAAAGGAGTCAATGGTCTACCCCCGTGACAACCTAATCCCACATATACTATGAATATTTTTAATTGATTTGGTTTTAGACTTTTATACCAGACTAAATGAGACGAGAGCCGTCTAATAAATTTGGAGACCTCGATTCTAAATGTAAAATCGAGGCTTCACATGAATATAAAAAAAAATCAAAAAAAATCAATCCAAGTACTTATAATCAAAGCAATTGAATACTCATTAAAAAAGAAGTAAAGAATAAAAGGACCAACGAAAAAATGATGGATCTATATTTTTCTTCCTTATTAAATGTATTTTACTGATTAGTATTAATATATAATATTACTTCATATTATATAGTTAACCAAAAGAAATTTAAAATTTTGGGGCCTAAAAAATTCGGGGCTCTGTTCTATATAAAACGGTCCTGAATAAATCCATACTTAAAAAGATCATATAAAATCGGTTCAAATCAAACTAGAATTTGACAATACTACATACACATAAAACAAACATATATCAAACCAAACTAGACTTAAATAAACCACAAAAATTCAATCTCATCAAAAGAAAGTTCTATATAGGATTACGTAGTTAATTTCATCAAATGATCGATGGCTCCATACGCAACAACCACGACCTTATCATGCTTAATTTATATAGGGTATTTTAGAAACTGAATTGGTCGAAAGCAAAGTTATGTTTTGGATAGTAGCCTTGTTTTTAATCTTTTTCTCCCGAATTTCTTACAAAAATATCACAATCTCATAAAAATCTCTTTTTTATGAAGAAACATTTTTCAAAACATTTTTTCATGTGTGAAGGAGAAAGTGGTTATTTTTGTTTTTATTAGCTATTTTGAGTCCATTTTGCATATTTGTACCACGATTTTAAATTGCAGTTGCTGTTGCGATTCTTGCAACGCTATGATGCATATTGCAGTCGATGCGGTGTGAATTTCTTTTGGTTAGAATGAAATAAGAAAAAATTGAATTGGTGTTGTGGTCCCGGTCGACTTTTTTGATGAAATGTTTATGACATGTTTTTCATCAAGTCTAGTTTATCCACAAAAAAATTCAGCTAAAAATCCAATAGGAAAAGTCGTTAAATAAATTTTGGAAGTTAACTGCGTTTTATATGTATATTTTGAGCGCAGTTATCTTCCAAAAATCATTTGACGACCTTCCCGATTGAATTTTTAGCTGAATTTTTTTGTAGATAAACTAGATTTAATGAAAAACATTTCCTAAAAAATTCATAAAAAAAATCAACACCAAAGCCGCAAATGCCTCCGTCCGAACGACAATTCCGGTCAAGTAATTCCTCACTAGAAAAGTACTCTCTCTGTATATATGCGGGGTTACTTACCGGAGCAAGTTTTCTTGCGGATGAGTTTGTAAATCAGGACCAATATTCCGACGAAGTGGATGGCTTCTGCGGCGACAAAGAAGTGGTTCCGATCCTTGACGGAGAGTCTAAGAGCCACCAGAGCGGCCAACGCCGCCACCACCCCCAACAAGATCTTCACCTTCACCGACCGATTCCTCACCCACGCCAACAGCCGCGCCTTCTTCACTGACGAAGAACCCCTCTTCTCACCCATCTGCAACGCCTATCACAATTACAATACCAATATTAATTATAATAAAAATAATACAGTGGTAATTATTTTTATTACTCGGTAATAAAGAAATACTTCTTATTTTTTTCTACAATACCCCTTATTTTTATTACTCGGTATTCAATATACAAAGAAAAAGGTTTTGATGGGTTTAAAGGGGAAGTGCGCAAATCATTAGCAGTTTGAAATAGCATAAATAAGAATAAATAATTAATGGCCTAAGTAGCTAGATATTCTCTTTGGCAAGTTCTTAATTATTTGATATATTTCTATATTTGGAAATACGCACACTTATTTGATGTTTTGATATTAGATTTTGATGAGTTAAAACTACCCAAAAATTACAGGATTGACACGGAATTTGGTACGTACTTACCGATTTTTTTGTGCCAAGTAACTCGTGTCAAAGTGTTTTTGGCGTGGATTTGGCATTTTCCTGCCAAAATCCCTTCCAAATCCCTGCCAAAATCCTTTCCAATCCCGTGGTTTTTTTGTAGTGAAAAATGATTAAATTTTTAGTGAAAATTTGCTTTATATCATAGTTTATTTAGTCTATGCATCCTATACATGGCATAACATGCAACAACAATAGTTGTGATTTTGTTAAATGTTTTATAAAATAACATAACATAGTCTTCAGTCTTATAATAAATTCGGAACTATATACTCGTAACAATAGCCATTACATATATTTATATATTATTTGTAAGCAACATACGTTTTTTATGTTTACATTTTACGTTTTGAATTCATATTTTTTATATTAATTAATATATGTTTTACAAGCTTCATGTACAAAGTTCATGCATGTAATTGAAGATCACACGTGGCAGTAATTAATTAATGTGTTACCAAATATTTCACGACCAAATTTGAATATGGGTTTGTCAAGGCATATCTATAAGGATTTTGGTCATTTATAAGTTGTATAATAGGCACCACCTTAATATTGAACATCATAGCACCACCTTAAGATTGATTTGATTTGATGTTAGAGTTTGATATAATTTAATTTAATTTAGTTTGAACTGATCTAGTATGATCGGTATAATCTAGTATGATCGGTATACGTCTAATGTTATCTGTATTCTACTATTCTTTAAGTATGGACTAACAATGAAACTAGTAAAAACAATGATATATGTAATTGTTGTTTATAAGACAGTTTCTTTAATTTGGCTTTGGGGTCTTATAATTAATTTCAAAGGGGCTTCGTGTACATGTAACATGTTGCAAATTGTTTGTCTCACACATGTTTTTTGTCATTTTAAAGATGAATTCTCTATGGTATTAACAAACAAGTTCTCAACTTTTATCGGTGTCACTGACCATTCTTCTTGAAAAATTTTAAAACTGAAAGTGGATACAAAAAGTACCTTTCTATAAATTTTGGCTTAATGAACATTTAAAACGTTTCCATTTTTATTTACGGAGTGTGCTATATATAGAGGGAGAATAACTGTTGTACGTTTTATTTTGATAATTAATTCTATCGATTGTTTTGTAACAATAGTTTGGTAGCTCATTAATAATTTTAATTCCTATTTGAAGAAAAATACTTTTTGGTTATACCTAATCAGAACCTCTCATCATGATTATGATTTATGATACATTATTATGTACTCCGTACAAAATAGATTGTAGAACCTCGATCGATTCTTTTCAGTTTTACCAAAGAAATATTGGGGGCTTACAAACTTTGACCGGTACAAGGATTAAGGAATGACAATAAATGATGTCTGCTTTTTACACTTTTGCCCATCTTTCTAAAAATATATAACTTTAAGTTAATGAGAAAAAAGTAAGAGTAAAGGTAAATTTGTCACTTTATTCTTATTTACATACTTAAAGTAGAAAATTGAAAACCATTCTGGGACAATCAAAATAGGAAATTTTGCAAATCAAATTAGGACAGAGGAAGTATTTTGATTAATAATAAGGTGGCTTTCACGGATTGATTTGGCCTTTACATTCAAGAAGGGGACTGATTTAATTTGGTTTTATTTGATCTGATTTGGACTACGTTTGGCACAATGAGGCAATGAAGTGGACCTGAAGGCTAATATCTAAATTAGGAGCTATTGTCTTAATTAAATATTATTGTCTAGAATTGATTTTAAAATGTTGAATCTCAATAGTTAGCTAAATGAAGTAAACCCGTTTGGCAAAAATAACTAAAAAGGTGCCTGAAAAATACTATCGTATACAATTACACCAGAGCCGGTCCTGTCCATTTTTGAGCCTATGGGCGGTACGCTATTTTGAACTTATATATCTATAACAAACCGTAAATCATATTTGGGCAATGAAGTTCATAAAATAAAGGCGAGAATCACTTTTTTTATTATTTAAGTTACATATTTGGGCAAAAGTAACAACATGGGTATCGAAAAAAAGGAAAAAATATTACTTAAAAACGTTTCTCGTAGAACAATGTGAAACAAATAATCAATAATTGCTTTGTAGGCAACCTTCTTTCCACTAATAATTATGACAAACAATAAAATTGTCACATATAACAACACTAAATTTTCTTTTGAAGGATTTGAAAAGAAATATCACCACATATTGAATTCATAAGTCGAGAATGAATTGTTGACCGTTGATGAGAGTCTAAAGTTTGAAATCTCGAAAGAATGAGGGTTTTCAAAGAGACAAAATGTTTGGCTGCCAAAAGAACTCGCGCAAGAAGATTGCAAATTTGACGTCCTCTAAAACAATGATAAGTCCGTATTTAGACACACATTTGATGCGTGTTGGGATCGACTTTTGATGGTTTTCCTAACTTTAAGATGTTGCAAGTCTTAATTTTAGCTCAAGTTATGTTTACCGGGCATTGGTTCGAGTTTTGTGTTGTTTGAAGTCAAAATCAGGAATTTAGAGTCCGGCACCGGCGCTTGAAGAGAAATCGGGACAACTTGAGAAGCATTCGTGAGTGAATTGATAGCTTTGGAGGTCACCGGGAGGTTCACCAATGAAGATTTGATGACAAAAGAGCTTTAGGATTGGCTACGGGATCAAAAGAAGACAAATAGAGCTTGAAAACGACGTTCAGAATGTTCTTATGTCAATCGTTCAAACATATCTCTTTGTAGAAGCATCCAAAGGACACGATTCAAGTTGAATATGAAATCCAACTTCAAGGGCTATAAGTCATATGAAGACACCATTGCAAGAATCTGAGAGGAAGAAGGTGAAAACAGACGATGAAGTGAGATGATCCCTGTTGCAATTTCAGAATGAGACCTTCCACCATTTTATTCATATTTCTTGATTGGATGATTCAAATCCAATTCGGAAAGTTGTGGTGGATAGAGAACTTCATTATCTACAACTTTCATAAAGGAAGTTTTGTTAAATTCTAAATATAGAAGCCGGAAAACTCACTAGCAGCCATGCACGCGTGTGTGTGAGGGACGCACGCGTGCGTCCAACGTTTTTTACGCGCAAGCCTGTCGGACGCAAGGACGTCACGTACGCGTGCGTGGGCACCGTGCGTGCCCCTGGAGTCCTAATTTCGCATGAATTGCTCCGTTGTTACTATTTAAACAGCCTGTAAACCCTTGTTTTGAGGGATGAGCTTAGAGAGAGGCCTAGGGACGAAATTTCTTCTATTTTTTCATCTTGTTCTTCAATTCCCTTGGATTATTTGTAAGTTTCTACTTTTTATTTAATGAAAATTAATTCTATTCTTCCCAATTCTATTGATTCTTCAATTATGAGTTGTGAGTAGTTTTAATTAGGGATTTGAGATTGATGGAGGGGTTAATCATGATGTATGGCTAAATTCATGATGGATTAATTGCATGAATGTATTTAATTTGTGTTTGAATGATTTAATTGATATCTTTTGTAGAATAAATTAAGAGAGATCTAGTTTATTCTAGGATACCTTCACACACACTTAATCGATCGCTAAGAGATTAGTAGCGATTAAAGGGCCGTAAGTTCGTTCGTCTTGGCAATAATTTAGGATCCTGCCTCGTGAAAGATCAGCTTGGTCCCCTAAATTATTATACTCTACGCCGCGAGAGCGGTAAGAACTTAGTATTGATTAGCTAGGCTCAATTAAATTAAATCCATGTAACTAGGCTTGATCTGCCAGAAATCTGATTACCCCGGAATCAATCCCTAATCCCTTCGTCGTTAATCAAGAAGAACCCAAATCTTTATTTTTATTCGCTCATTCACATTTATTAATTTTCCAACCCAATCAATCTCGCACAATTTTTTTTTCTTCGCTGAATTTAATTAATTCTTAATTCCCTTTTGCCCGTCCCTGTGGAGACGATACTCGTACTAACACCCTATACTGCTACATAATTTAAGTGCGAGAAAACTCACATCAGTTTTTGGCGCCGTTGCCGGGGACGGTGTCGGTTTTAAGGGTTAATTAATTTCAACGAGATTTTTTTAGTTAGTTTTCTTTTTGTTTTCGTAGGATTTTTCTGTGCTAACCTTTCAGGTATTTTTTGTAAGAGACATGAGATGAACCCATTCAGCCAAATTCCAGGAGGAATTCTTTTACCTCAAACCTCCATGGAATATTCATCATATACGCCATACCCTCCTTACACTCCCCCCAATATTACACTCCTCACCATTATTACTCTCCTTCACCACAAAATATTCCATCTTCCTATTCTCACCCTCCTCCAAATACGCAACATTCCCAGTATCATTCCCCTCATTATTCTCTTCATCAAAATTACTCTCCTGCACCACAAAATTATTGAAGCCCTTATCCATACCCTCCAACCATGCGAACTTGTCTGCCTAAAAATAACTTTTGTTCGTACTGTAGAGGGTGTCACCATATATCTTTTTGCCCCGTTAAACCACCTTATGACCATCCTTACTGGGCAACTGCATACCCCACTTCTTCCTCCCCACAATATACAAACACAAAAAGCTCAACCATTCCTACATCCTTGCCAAGTAATGAGCCACATAATGAGTGTAAGAATACACTTTCAGAAACTTTTTCTGGGTACCTAAAGTATATAAGGGAGAACTCTTTAGCCATGGAGCAGAGCACTTCAAACATCATGAAGCATATAAATACCATAAGGAGCCATCTGGTAGAAGACCAATCTGAGGAGACCAATAGGGATGATCACGTGAACGAGTCAGATTACGAAGGTGGAAATATGGTGG